AGATGGGGGGAGCCAGGGGTGGTCCTGGTCCTGGGGGCTCCTGGGCCGCGTCAGGCGGTCCACGAGGGCCTTCAGAGGCCTCAAGGGACAGTCAAGACAGCCCCAGAGGGTTCCAGGAGACCCATGCCAACAAGATTTGAAAGCCATCCGAAGTCTATGATTTTTTCTTTTCGATTTCCCGTATCCGATGGACTACTCAAGCCTCCAGATCGCCCCCAAGACGCCCCCAAGAGTCCCCCAGGCATCCCCCCAAAGCTCCGAAGTGGACCTCCGAGATCGCCAGCAGGACCCCAAGAGGCCCCCAAGAGCACCAAAAGACGCCCCAAGTGGCCCCCAAGCGGCCCAAGATGTCCCAAGAGGCGTCTAAACTGGCTCCAAGAGGCGCACGAGAAGCTCCAAGAAGCCTCTGACCCACAACCCAGGCACGGTGTCGGGATGAGCCGAAGGCCAGCAGACAAGCAAACAATTGCGCAGCCTTGCGAAGGGCGAAGGGCCCAACCCTATGCAGTCACGTGCAGCGCCGGGCGCGGCCCTCTCTTCACATACTGCGCGCCGCGGAACAGTGCTGATAGTGGTCTGCTGCGGAGCGAGCGTGCACTGGCGCGCTGAAATTCTTGTGGTGTGCGATCAGCGTGAAGGGGGTGCCGAATAATCCAGATGCCTCCGCGCGAACACGCCCACTGATGCCGCATGTAGGGTTCCCTGTGCGGCACGACCCGTGTGAGGCATGTGCCGAAATGGGCGAGGGGACGCCATGTGAAGTTGCCCATCGGTGCCATTGGTGAAGCTCTTTTCGGGGCACGATTCGCGAAGGGATGTGGCGCAGTGGGAGGGGGGACGATGCGCGAGCCTTGTCTTTTGGGCTGTGGGTCGCGCTCCCTGTGGGGCACGATCCGCGTAAGGAGTATGCCGCACTGGGCGGGGGATGGCACTATGAGGACCCAGTCTCCGGGGCAGTCGGTGAAGCTCGCTGTGGGGCACGATTGGCGTAAGATATTTGTCGAGATGGGCCGGGGGGCGGGATGCGAACCTTGTCACTGAGACCGTAGGTGGTGCTCCTTTCGGGGCACGGTCCGTGCAAGAGGTGTGCCGACGTGAGCGGGGGGGCGCTATGCGAAGAATTCCTCTGGTGCCGTAAGTGCAGTTACCTGCAAGGCACGTTCCCCGGGAGGGGTGTGCCGCAATGGGAATCTTGTCTCGGGGGCCGTACACGATCCTTGTAAGGGGTGTGCCGAGATTGGCGAGGGGACGCTATGTACCCTGTCTCTGTGTACGATCCGTGTGCGCGATCTGTATGCTGGGTGTGCCGAAATAGGCGGGGAGATGCTACTGAGGTATGCGTGCCCACGATTGTGGCAGCTGTTCCCATGTGATGATCGTGGCCGGATGGTGCGCGTGCCCATTCGATGCTTAATATGACGCTGGCTTCGCCTGGGCTAGAACCTAAGCGCGCGCGAAGAGCGCGTGGTTTTAGCATATCAGCATATGCACAAACGGATGTACACATACATACATTATAGCTGGTACAGGCTTGTTCTGCACCTCTCTTGCTCTCTCCCGTCCCCCTTTCGAGTCCTCAGTTGGCTCGTAACCTTCTCGCTCTCTCATCATCCCTCTGGGAACAAGGTGGCTATGGAGCTGAGAAGCATTTTTTGGACGCGAGGTTCGCAGACTGGGATGGCCTCCTACGAGCAGGTAACGTGGTCTGGATAATGTTCTTGTTTCAGGCAAGCTGGAGCTTCCCGCTTTATGACGCGCTATTCCACTCGGCCACACCAGCCTATTGGAGTCGCGCTCGATTTATCTTCCTCCACAGCGGGATCTGCATCGCGAGATACCTGTACTACCTGCACGCCTTTTTCAACGTCGACGGCGTCCGTGGCTTCGGCGTCACCCTGCAGGCGCTCGACTCGGCGAAGGCGAAGGTTGCGAGCCTGTGGCGCGAGCTGGCCGGGGCGGAGGGCATCATCGACGCGGCGCCAGGGGCAGCAATCGCGCGCGCCTGTCCGGACCCACTGGAGGGCGGCAGACGGGGCGAGCGGGGGAGGGCCTGGCGCGGCGTAGAGGCGGGCAGGGCCGCGACGGCAGGGGGACGGAGGGCAGTGGTGGAAAGGGGGGATGGTCGGGAGGAACAGGAAGCCGTGGGCAGGAAAGAGAGGAGGAGGAGGAGGAGGAGGAGGAGGGAGAGGAGGACGGTCACGATGGCGATGATGACGCCGATAACCACGGTGGTGTTGACGCTGATCTTGATCTTGATGTTTTTTGTTGTTCGTGGGTATGCTGATGAGGAGGAGCAGGAGGAGGAACATGATGATGATTATGATGATGCTGACGATGCTCATGGTGCTGCTGATGATGATGCTGATGCTGATGCTGATGATGCTGCTGCTGCTGCTGCTGCTGATGATGATGATGATGATGATGATGATGATGGTGGTGATCATGCTGCTGCTGCTGATGATGATGATGATCATGATGAGGATGCTGCTGATGATGGTGC